CAGATGCTGTAAGCAAGCAACCTGCATATTTCCCCTTCAGATGTGTTCCATCAACGACTATTACCTTCCGCATATGCTCATAACCCTGAATAGACGCCCCAAATGCCACATACATGTACTTGAACCGTTCAGCGGACCCGTCAATGGTTTCGGTAAAAAGCCTTGTGATTGTCCCTGGATTCGCTACAACTAGCCGATTCAAATAGTCTGGTAGCTGGTTATAAGAAGATGTGGCGGTCCCCTTCACCTTGTCAATGGCTACATCCCTTGAACGCCACGCCTTCCAATATGATATGTTGACATCATGATCCCCACGCATCATCTGTCTGATTTCTCGTGGTCTAGGTCCTGTGCAAGCTCCACCAAACTTGCTTCTCATGAGTTCCCCTATAACTGTCGCTGTTGCTTGTGATTGATAGCGTCCTCGATCGTCCACCGAACAAGTGTGGTCTGAGATCACTTTCCTTACTTCGAATACATGCGCATCCTTCAGCTTGACTGCATATACTCTCCAAGGGCACCCATCTCCACAGCACTCTAGAACCATTAATCCTGGTTCCGATTTCCTACACCTGTAACAAAACTTATTGTTTATCGCGTGCACCGCCATATACTGTTTAAACTCGTCCCGACTTCTGAATATCATTCCTACTTCAACCTCACCATCGTATTCACCTATTTCACCTGCAAAAGTTATTTGTTAGACTGGTTTTTAATCGAACGGTGGACCATACAAACGCGTAATATACTTAGTCTCAAAAAACAACCCAAAACATAATCCCCAACCACACATCACAGTCGATGCCAAATAATTCTGTATCAAGTATACACAGTATGTTAGCACATTGTTCACCATCGATATCACAAACAAAGTCGCATTATCAAACTCCTCATTTGAATTTTATAATAATGCCTTCCGAATTACACAACACCTAGTAGGCCATGTTTATCATGAACTGTAAACAATACCAAACATAGTTCCCAAACACATTGTATACTCGATGCTAAACAAGTTTGTATCACGTATACACAATATATTAGCATATATTGTACACTTATCAAACTCATTAGAATTTTATACTAATGCCTTCCGAATTACACAATACTTATTAGTTCATGTTTTTCATGGACTATTCACTAGAGTTAATATGCTAACTATTTTTTTTAGCTTGTTTCATTTTTTTATAGTAATGTATGACGAGAAAACTCTCCTTACAAATGCGGGTACAACATAGCACAACCGTTTATCAGTTACAATTGACATAAATTGACTTTCTGACACTTAGTATTTACTTGAAACAACCACAATGACACATAAGCTACGATTACATTATAGTTGGCATAAGATGACTAGTTTGTTACATTACATAAAATTCCACTTAGCAGCCGTTTTTTTTTTTGAAAATCTAGAAATACCGCGACGGTTATCATGCTACACCTTACAGCTAGACAGTACTAAAAAGGTAATCAGAAAATTAACATGCCAACCAGAAAGCAATTATAACAAACCAAACCAACCAGTACTGGGTTCGTATTCAACTCCCACCTTCTGTGCTACTCCCTTCAGAGGATGTGTCGGTGTTCCTCTGTTTTGGGTTGGTCGAACCTTCTCCTTTTGTTGCACATACCATTGCTAACTTCATGATTGGTTGAAGAGGTTGGCTTACGATTGGTTGAGTCTCCAATGGTTGAGTAGTTGCCAAAACCAAACCTTGTGCCGCCTCCATCTCTGGAAAAGAAATTGTTTTCGCTTAAATTAAGAAACTCAGTCTATTTTTGTATAAAACTCACTTACCGTTGCTTGTGGGCTGAGTAAGGGGACCAATTTCCGCTTCCGATGAACCAGTGAAAGAGACTTCGCTGTCATCAATGCCATCAGTGGATGGACATAACCCCAACGAATTCCAAAAGCGCATTTCACTAGTAAATCCATCATCAGGTGCCGCTTCCGCCGTTGGCTGGCCAACGAGTTCGTTTGCTATGACCGGTTCACCTTTAGAAAAATGAAAACAGCAAATCATTAAATTTCAAAAACTTGCTAAACAAGAAACCTATCAATATAACTCAATTTATTAACCGGCTAACCATTTGTCCCATTTCCTTGTGTACCTCCACCCATTTGTGCTGGTTGCTGCTGCGGTGTTGGCTGCTCTGTCCTTATAGTCAGGACTATTGGTGTCTTACCCCCTTCACCATCGACTCCAACATCTCCGGTAGTGGACCCGTTTATCACTGTGTAATGGAAATAATTTTTTAATAAATCACTTCTAGTTATCATGCTAACTAATATTCATAAAAAGACAATCAATAACTAGAAAGACAAACCAGCTGTTTCGGGTTGGGCGTTTTCATGTGTTGGTTGATCCCTAGGTGGCTGATTCGCCATGGATGACATGTCCATGCCCACTTCCCACAAAATCGGTGGTGCAGCTCCACGATCAACAGGTCCAACCACCGTTGTACCAACAGCAGAAACACCTTCGAACCAAACAATTACAATGCATAAATCAAGTTCTGTTAGCCCGGCTAAACATGTTTTATGCACATCAACGTAATTTAACTAACAACACAACAAATCACAGCTACCGACCACCTACCATTTGTTACACGCCCTTCTTCGACATGGACCATTTCGTTGTCATCGTCGTCTAGCTCGATGATCTCTCTCACTCGTTCCATTCCACGGCGTTGGTTTGCCATGTAGTTGTCTGCGAAAGCCATTTCCAACGAAACTCGGTGGAAGAGACGCAAACTGTCTTCTGGGAATAAAGCATGCATAACTCTTTGCGTCTGTGCTTGACGGTTGCCAAAGACTAAACCTGTTACAGTATATCAAACAAAAAAAAATTATACACCCGCTGAGAATAGAAACATTTAAACTTATTGTTTTTTTTTCAAAGTAACCGTACTTACTTTCGTAAGCGGCTCGCGAGCTATCATTTGCAGTGTGTTCAAAGACATACAAAATGTTGCCGATTGCAAAGTTAGTACGAGTGTTAAACTCGTACTCAGCAACATCTATAGGTCCCATCGTTATCAGAAGTGGAAGCTCAATCCCACATGTCCCCCCATGGAGAAGCCAAGACAACACAGCGGTGCACGAGATCGTGGTCGGTGGAGTCCGGTTTCCGCTGGGACCGAGCAACCCAATGGGTAGTCTGTGAGTAATGACAACTGGGGTGTAAGGGCTTAGACCGTATCGTTGCCTTATTATGTTGTCAAGGCTATCGTAGCTGACAGTCTCATAGACTACCACCCTATAGCCTATTTCTTCTGGGTGTGTCATGAAGTCCCACTCTTCTTCAGCATTCTTCTTCCACTGTCCTCGCCAGAAACGCACACATCGAACCATCTGAGTATTTAGCAAAAAAAAAAAAAGACAGTTAGAAGCTATATACCTCATCTAAAAATGTTCTCAACTCAATATACGTAAGCATTAAATAAATATCTAATGGCATGCATCAATTTTAGTCGGCTAAATTATTGCTAACATCTGACACAATCGTCTACACTTTTTTTAAGATTAGGGCATTTATACGAGATTCAATAGGTTGTGTTATAGGATAAGTGGTTATTGCATGTACGGGATAAACAATAATTTAGAGAGAGAAGAGTGAATCTGCCGAAAATCATATAAGAATGAATTAAAATCATTTAAGGAGATGGCGATGCAATTACTCTAAGATCTAACTGCTTTACAACTGAATGATTGAAAATAAATGCAGCCGTTGTCGTCTTCTTTTATATCGAATCAGAACAAGAGATTTATTACAGACACATTAACTACTAGAGATCAAAAACAGAAAGAAACAAATTTATTGGAGATCATAAGAACATTCCAACGACAGAGAGAAGAAGATCTGTCAGGAATACCAACCTTTGTGTCTTTGTCGTAGTGTAAGAGGAAACTTATCGGTCAGCTTCCTTTTATAGACGAACCTCGAGTACATCTTTTCGAATCCCTCCCTCAAAAAACCAACTTTTCGCATGCAACCCAGTAACTTTTCTTTCGATCTCCCCGGTCATGCAGCTTCTGTGTCAGAAATTTCCTATCTTTCTATTGGTTCTTTTTGCACGAACAGACACACGTAGAAGAGAGGGATAAAGTTTAATCATTACAAACCCCCCAATTAACAACAAAACTAGTTTAGGTTACTGCCGCCTACACCTAAAAGCGCCTACTCTCTTTTTGTCGATAACAAATAGGCAATGAGGTTAGTTTAGTAATTTTCTACAAAAACTAATCCCCACATAAAGTTGAAATGTGCATTTTCCTAATTACATACTTCTTATACGATATTCAACAAATTCACTCTATGATTTAAGGGACTGATTAATATATTATTTTATTTATAAATTATTCGATAAAAATGTTGATTCCATAACTACAAAAGTAAAGGGAAATATTATTCTTGATGTGATCATGTGTACTATTGGATTCTTGTGGCAAGAAAAAAGAAAAGGGTATAATAGTTTTTTTTTTTTTTTGCACACGAAAAAGATATAATACTCCCTCCGTTTTATATTAAGTGTCATTATAGAGAATTTTTTGTGTTACAAAATAAGTGTCGTTTTCAGTTTTCAATGTAAAATTTATTAATTTTATTATGTAATTTGTTTTTCTATTGGTTAAAATATGGTTAGGTGTATAGGTAATTGTGTTTTTATATAGGAAATATGTAAAACTAATTGTTTCCTTAATTCGTGTGCATAACTGTAGAGTGACACTTATATTGAAACAGAGGGAGTAGTAATAATCTCGTAAACCCTATTCCAAAAAAGAAAAACACAAGAAAAGGGAATAATTAGCAATTTAATAACAGTAAAAAGATAAAGAAATGGATAAGATGACATCAGGATATATAAGACAAGTCTTATCTAACCAAATCATGAGTCATCTCCACGTCGACTTTCTCAATTTTCGTGAAATATCAGAATTACACAAATCAATCTATAAAAAAAAATCTATAAATGTGCACTTCAATCACATTAAATCTCATACTCACCAAAAAACAGAAGATTCAAGGAAAAAAAAAACAAAATGTTGGCTATTTTTCAAAAGACGTTTGCGCATCCACCGGAAGAACTAAACAGCCCGGCGTCAAACCTCACGGGCAAAACCCCAAAACTTCCCGGAGAAACCCTCTCTGACTTCCTTTCAAACCATCAAGACTCTGCTTTCTCCATGAACTTCGGCGACTCCGCCGTCCTCGCTTTCGTCCGCCAAGAAAACTCTCACCGTCCAAGGTATAATAATGAACACATTCCTCTAAAGTCTAAAATGTGTTTCTTGCCATTCAAGTTGTCTTAATAAAGACATTTCTCTCAAGGCTAAGTTGTGATTCTTGCTCTCCACGGTATATTATTAATAACAATCTATTCTCTAGAACCGGTTTGGTTCTTGCTCAGGCTATATATAAGTAAAGCATTAAGTCTATGATCCCAAAATTTAAAAGACAATTTACAGAAATTTCAAATTAGTCTTTATAATTATTTATTTATTGCCGACAACATAGTTAATTATTTATAAGAAAATTCTTACTATAGTTTCCAAAATCTCATTTTCTATAAACTGCTTCTTGCCGGAAAACCATTTCTTTAATCTGTCTCGTCTTTTTCAGGATGTTTAGTGGAATCGATGGAATCTACTGTGTGTTTCTTGGAACACTGAACAACCTATGCGACTTAAACAAACAGTACGGTTTATCTGGAAAATCTTCAAACGAGGCCATGTTTGTGATCGAAGCTTACCGAACACTACGTGACCGTGGTCCTTACCCAGCTGATCAAGTTCTTAGAGGTCTCGACGGAAGTTTCGCCTTTGTCGTCTACGATACTCAGACATCCTCTGTTTTCGCAGCTCTGGGATCTGATGGAGCTGAGAGTTTATATTGGGGAATAGCTGCAGATGGGTCTGTTGTTATGTCTGATGATGTCAAGATCATTAAGCAAGGTTGTGCTAAGTCATTCGCTCCTTTTCCGACAGGTAAGAAAAACAGATTTCGTTCGGACAAAACTTATAAGCTAAGAAGTTATGTAATAATCTGATGATGAAAGTGTAATGTTTTTTTTTGACTGTGTAGGGTGTATGTTTCATAGTGAGAGTGGTTTGATGAGTTTTGAGCATCCGAAGAATAAGATGAAGGCGATGCAGAGGATTGATAGTGAGGGAGTTATATGTGGAGCTAACTTCAAAGTCGATGCTTGCTCCAAGATCAGTAGTCTTCCGAGAAGAGGAAGTGAAGCTAACTGGTCTTTGGCAAACTCTAGTTAATGTAAGGAGGAAGAAGAGTTGTCTTTGTAAATTACCCAACAATGGTGTTGTCGAAAAAAAAAAATCAAACAATAATAATAAGCTTATTTTACTGATTCAGTATGGTGGACTCTGATCATTCAGCATGTCTCCACATGTCTACAAACTCGTCTGGTTTTTAGTTTGGTTAATATCTGGATAATTTTTACTAATTTGAATTATTTTGGTTACTCCAGTTTGAATTGTGGATACAAATTCGGTTCGTTTTGGTATAAACCAATACGACTTATTAAAATTGCTAGGCCTGAGCAAAACCCGAACCCGATTATCCGAACCGAATCCTGTCCATTTAAAGTGGTATGGGCCGGTACCGGATCTTTCTAAAAAATTGAATGGGCCTGATTTATTGAGAATGTCGGGTGTCGGGTTGGAGTGGATAAAACCCGAGAGTCCGATTGGTTACACCCATAACCCGAAATTGCTAAACTTAACCCCTTTTTTCCTATCGAGTATCGATACTCAAACATTCAAAATTAGATTTCTCTTGATCTTCAAGGAGAGAATCATGAAACCTTTCCTAAATCTCAATCTCCCTAGATATTCTCACCGAAATTATTTCCTATCTCTGTTAATCGTATCACATCTCCAACTGTTTTCTCACATCGTATCCGATTCTCTTCCTCGATTTGAAACCGAAACCCTAAGTCGAAGATACTATATATACCTCTGGTATCATCATCGTCTACTCCACCACATAACTCAAGTAATCAAGCAAAGGTACTCCTCCGTTTACAGAGTACTCGATGCTGGATTTTAATTTTTTTTTCTTAGTTTCGGGTTTTGCGTTTTTTTGAATTTTTAAGATAGAAATTTTTCTGTTTTGTTTTGTATTAATCAAGCATCACGATTCATAAGTAATAATATGTTATTTTAAGTTACAAATTTCGTGTTTTGTTTCATAGTAATCAAGCATCAAATTTTTTTATCTTTCTTTATGTTTTGTTTCATGAACTTACGGTTTTGTTTTGTATTATTTGTTGTACTTGTACTTACGGTTTTGTCTCAAGAACAACCATCACGAGTAAACTAATTTTGTTTTACGGCTATAAATATATTTTTCTGATGTCACTGATGGATATTGTTTTACTCATACTCTTGTCGATGGTTTCATCATCCTCCAGAATCCCACAGTCTATTGAAGAATCCATGGACGTTGATGTTTAAGTTGAAGGAGCCGAGTACCAACAACTCAAAACCGAGGGAAAGCCATTGCTTTTGATGAAACTTCTGGTGTCTCTTCTCAATCAAAGAAGGTGATGAAATTCGTTGTGCCAAGGTCTGGTGTCTGGAAGCATTTCACACGAACCAAAGAAAATCGGGACAGATGCATCTGCCATTACTGTCAGAAAATCTTCTCATGTGCTACCAAGTCAGGGACATCAAACCTCCAGAAGCATCTGTCCATCTGCAAAGAGTACCAAGCATGGTTAACCAGTCAAGGTACGAACCATATAGAGATCAACACTGATGGCAATCTGAAGTCATCAAAAGTTCCAGAGGCTGTTTTCAGAGAGGCATCGAATGAGCTGATTGTGCTAGGAGAACTGCCTCTTTCATTTATTGAAAGCAGTGCTTGGAAACACTTCTGCAGAAAGGTAATACATTTAAGAAACCCTTACCATTTTTTTTTATCTTCTTTTTTACATGAAAAAATTAGTAATATATTTGTTATTTACACTTGCAAGGTAAACCTCTACAAGCCACACTCAAGAAGGACTGCAACCAGAGACATCGTTGAGATGTATGTGAAGAAGAAACAAGCTTTGATAAACATGCTTCGTACAACCAAACAAAGAGTGTCACTTACAACTGACATATGTTTTCACAAGTCACATGTAACTTATTTTCAGTTTTTTTCCTTTGTTTTATTTATTCTACGCTTTGTTATATCCATATGATATATTTTTAAAATTATTTTTTAAAGATCAAGTTAAAAAAATTTTATAGTCTTTCTTTGTTTTATAAAGTCTTTCTTTGTTTGTTATAAAAAATTTTAGAACTTCTATGTCACTTAAAATTGTTTTATAAAGTCTATGTCACTTAAAATTGTTTGTTGTACCTGTAACAGGTGCAAGTTACATGGTGATAACAACACACTTTGTGGACGCAACTTGGCAGTTGAAGAAGCTTATCATAGGCTTCAAGTATGTGATGGATCACAAGGGCCAGAGCATCGGGACTGTGCTGTTGGATTGTCTAGCTGAATGGGGCATCGAGAAGGTATTTTGCATAACAGTAGACAACGCTACTGCTAATACTTCTGCCATTAGGAGATTCCACAGGGATTTTAGTGATGTTTCCCTTGAGGCGTTAGTTTTATATGGAAATTTCTTGCATATGAGGTGTTGTGCTCACATCATTAATTTGATTGCTAAGGATGGCTTAAACGAAGTAGGAGAGAATGTGTTAGCCATTAGGAACGCTGTCCAGTATGTTCGTTCTTCAACACCTAGGCTTAATGCTTTTGATCTTAGAGTCACCACTGGGAGAATGAGCCGGGTAGCTTGCCTTTAGATATTAAGACTAGATGGAACTCGACCTTTCTTATGCTGTCTAGGGCTCTTCAGTTTAGAGCAGCGTTTGATAGGATGGAGGCAGAAGATAGGTTGTATAATGAGTATTTTTTTGGAGATGGAAAATGGAGTTAAGAGGTGTGGACCACCTTCTTTGAGAGACTGGAGTGCTGTTGATAAGCTCAAAAGGTTTCTCATAATCTTTTACAACAGTACTCTAGTTGTTTCTGCCTCATCGAAAGTGAACTCTTACCAATGTTACGGTGAGATAGTGACCATAGAACGAAATCTCACTGCACTGGCCAATAGCTTTGATCCAGAGTTGAAGGTGAAAGCGTCAGAGATGTTGCAGAAGTTCCACAAGTACTAGAATGGTATCAAGAGTGTCAATAGGATGCTGATCTTAGCCACAGTTTTCGATCCAAGGAAAAAAATGCAATTTGCAAAACTGTGCTTCGAGAAGCTCTATGAGAAGGACAGCTTGGATTCTAACGCAATGCTGGAATCTGTTGGTGATCTTCTCAGGTATATGGCCATTAATCCATCTCATATTACTTGTATCAATATTTAATTTATGTTTGTGCTTTTAAAAATTAATTATCTTCTCAGGTCTATGTTCAAGGAGTACAACACAAGATTCAGAGTGTTTACTGGAGAAGCCTCTCAGTCAAATCACGCATGATCATCTCAGCCTCCTCCAGAGTCCCAAGATCACGGCACAAATAAGGATAGAATGGAGCTGGTGGTTGAAGATTTCGGTTATGAGAGGATGGACTGTGTATACAAGGAGCTGGTTGCTGAGAAGGGAGAGGATACAAGAGATGAACTTGAAGTGTACTTGATGGAGGCAGTTGAAACTCCTAATCTCTTGCTTGGTGTTGAGTTCGACATTCTCTCTTGGTGGAAGGTTCACAAGATGAAGTTCCATGTGCTTGCTGAGATGGCAAGAGATCTCTTTGCCATGCAAGTTTCTTCAGTGGCATCTGAGAGTGCTTTTAGCACAAGTGGTAGGATCTTGGAGCCATATCGAAGCTGATTGACTCATTACATAATCGAAGTTCTCATGTGCGCCGAGCAATGGATGCATGCTGATATCAAGGTGAGTTCGCAAGTGGCTACAAATGAGCAAATGCTCGCTGATGTGGAGATGCTTGATCGACTTCAGAAAGGTATGTATATCTCTTTCCTTAGTTTCTTTAGACTGTCTTAATGATAAGCTCCTCTCTTGTGCTTTGTTTTTTATGTTTCAGAGTTTCAAGCACATAGGCTTGATGAGTGAAGCTTCAAATTCGAAGCAAGGAGTAGATGAAGGCGTGTGAAGGTTGAAGCATGGTGGTTGAAGTTTTCTGCATTTGTTTTTTATTTCATTGAAGTTTGAATAATGTTAGGCTTTGGCTTTTTTTGGATTCTCTGAGTTGTTATGTTTTTGACTCTGCTATCAATAATTTATGGTTTTGGTTTTCTCTTAATAATGTTATGGTTATGCTTTCTTTGAAAACAAGTATTTTCTTAGGGATTTTTGGTTAACAAATGTTTGTTTTCTCTGTTTTTCAGTTTACTTGTCTTGCAAGTTACGAAATTATTTTGAATAGATTGGTTACAATCGCTACAAATGGTACACTTAAAGAACCGAAATACATATTTATACCCGATCCCGAAAGTATTCCGGGTTCTACCGGTTCCACGCCAGTTAACCACCCCGACCCGAACCGATACCGAACCGAATTTCAATATTACCCGATTGGGGCCTGTTTTTGTTCACCAAGAAAACCCGAACCCGGTTCAGGTAGAACCGAAACCCGAATGGTACACCGGTTGCCCAGCCCTAAAAATTGCTATAGAAACTAAACTAATTTGAATGAAGAACAAAACCAAATCAATAACCATAATGTTATACTTTTCGAATTTTCAAATTGAACCGACTTTAAAACAAACTAGATCTAACCCGCCCGACTGGGCGGGTCTTTGTTTTTAAGGTATATATAAATATTTTAAAAATTACAATCTTACGGTTCCAATTTTACTAAGTAATAGTATACTGTTTAAACATTGTATTTCATCATTGAATTGTGTAACAGGACATCGGTAAAATGTTGTGACCCGTAAATATTTTAGTAATATTTTATAAAGTTTTTTTGACTAAATTTGGTGAAAAATTATATACACTAAACAATTTAATCAAATTTTTAAGTTCATTTTTAATGAAGAATTGGAATGCTAGTATATTACTGTTAAAAATTTTTAACAATAGTCAATATAAATTATATAAATAAAATATATATTATTCTTGATTTATTCCACATACATTTAAAACACGAGTATATATATATATATATATATATATAATTTTCAGAAATAAAATAATATCAAGGATAGAAAACCCAAAAACAATAATAATGGTACTTTGGGTCGCAGTAATTTTTAGTTTAATAAGTAAGCCTATTAGATTTGTAGGTTATCCTTATTTTCAATCATCTTAATTTTAAATACTTGCTATTCATGTTTCCAAACACTTAATTTTTGTACTTCAGCTTTAATAGTATAGATTTGATGTGAAAATTATAGTCCGGTCAAGGCCTAAGTGAATCATTACCTAATCGGACAACAATATAGCCGAGACCTTAGTGGGCCACATAACAAGGCCCATTAACAGTGGTTTCATCTGCTATTTTTTGAAATTCTAAACTGTAACGATGTGTCACTTCGTCGTTTCTCAAGATTCTCCACGGCGACCGCTTTATAGAGAGAGATGGGAGAACGATTCTTCCCAAACGAGATGCCGGAGTTTGTACAGGACGACGCCGGAGAAGATGAAACCGTTTCCTCAGATAAAGATTTTCTGAAGAAGCTGCTCTCACTCCCTTACAGATCATTCTCCGAGAAGCTTCAGAGATATGCTCTAAGCCTCAAAGACACGGTAAAACTCAACTTCACAGCTTTTTAAGGTCTTTCGAGCTGCTTAGTATACTTATAAACTGAGTAATATAGGACAGCAAGATTTAGCTTTATCTGGTTTGATCATGTCCGAATCTAGAATATGTCTGATTAGCTTTGATCATAGGGTTTTATGAACTTGCTTTGGTTTTGTCTTTTCAGGTGGTATTTGAGACATGGGAACGACCTGGAAAACGTGTTCGAGACTTTAACCTTTACACTGGTGTTCTTGGAACAGCTTATCTATTGTTCAAATCATATCAGGTCACAAGAAATGAAAACGATCTGAAGCTATGCTTAGAGATTGTTGAGGGGTGTTACTCTGCTTCAAGAGACTCCGAGTAAAGACCTTTCTTGTAATAACCCATTACATATGTAGTTAAATGTATGCATGATGAGTGTGTTTTTTTTTAATCAGGCGTGTGACATTCATATGTGGCCATGCTGGTGTATGTGCTCTTGGTGCTGTTGCAGCAAAACTTATTGGTGATAGCCAGTTACAGGATCGTTATTTAGCCCATTTCCATGAGGTAGTTCCTGTTTCTTTTGCGCTAGTGTAAATAGGATTTCTGAAGCTTTGATCAGCTAGGCATAGGCGTTCGGTTTTCGATAATATTATTGGGTTAAGCCTCCTATACTCCATTTGGGTTCTATATATATTACATTACTTTGGAATCAGTTATATTTTATAATCAGTTACATTACTTTGGAATCAGTTACTTTGGATCCGAACTCCGAACTCACTTCCACTTTTGTTACTTTTGGTACTGTTAGATATCATATCAAAATAAACATATAATTGAGTATTTGAGGTACTTATTTTAGATTTTGAATACTTATTTCGGATACTAATTCGAGTTTTTCGGGGTTTTGATGCTGGATGCATTGGATTGATGCGTTGACTCAACTTGATTTTTGTAACAGATCAGGCTTCCCAGTGGTTTGCCATACGAGCTGCTATATGGTAGAGCAGGATACTTATGGGCATGCTTGTTCTTGAATAAGCATGTAGGGAAAGACGGTGTATCATCAGCAAAAATGGTAATAAAGTTTTTAACTCTTTATTGTGGTTCTAAATTAGTGGATGAAGCATCTCATTGTTTCTTGTAGAGATCTGTGGTTGAGGAGATGTTCAGGGCAGGAAGACAACTAGGGGAAAGAGGAAACTGCCCATTGATGTTCGAGTGGCACGGTAAGAAGTATTGGGGAGCTGCTCACGGTTTAGCTGGGATTATGCATGTCCTCATGCATCTGGAGCTTGAACCAGATGAGATGGTAGATGTTAAAGGTACACTAAGCTACATGATTCAACACCGTTTCCCAAGCGGAAACTACCCATCTAGTGAAGGAAGCGAATCAGATCGTCTTGTTCACTGGTGTCACGGTGCTCCTGGTGTTGCTCTCACACTTGTAAAGGCAGCTCAGGTAGTAGATAAACTCATCGATTACTACTCTCTATCTGCTTTAACAAAGCTTAATCTCCGAATGTTTTTTTTTCAGGTTTTTAAGACAAATGAGTTTGTAGAGGCGGCAATGGAAGCAGGAGAAGTAGTGTGGAACCGTGGATTGCTTAAACGAGTAGGGATCTGTCACGGCATCAGTGGAAACACTTACGTGTTTCTTTCTTTATACCGGTTAACAGGAAAGCAAGAGTACTTGTACAGAGCAAAGGCTTTCGCATCTTTCCTACTTGATAAGTCAGAGATTCTCATCTCAGAAGGTAAAATGCATGGAGGAGATAGACCATTCTCACTCTTTGAAGGAATAGGAGGAATGGCCTACATGTTTTTAGACATGAATGACCCAACTCAAGCTCTGTTTCCAGGTTATGAGCTCTAGAAAAGTACTACAAAACTTCACTTTAAGTCTGTAACAACAATCTTAGGTACTTAATGATGTAAGAAATAGATGTCTATGTTATATAAGAATTTATACATCAAAACACAACCAAACGCTTAAACGAATACTAGCAAGAAGCAAATCTTGAATAACCTAACGAATCAGTGAAGGGATAAACTGTTCCACGATGTGGAATCTCATTTAGTAAGGTGGGTTCTTGTGATCCTCACGAGCACGAGAATAGCAGACGTAGTAGAACTGAGAGACGATAGCAGTGAAGAGTGCAAAGGAAGCACCAGCAGCAAACACTCCTTTACGGATCACTTCACAGCTAGGAGGGTTATCGATGTTCCACATCTTCCTGTACTTAGTGTGGTACGCGTTTCTGATCGATGCAGCAAGCAAACATATCTCAGCAATCAAGAAAAACACCCTGTGAAACATAGAAAATGGTGTTAGATTCATGAAACCTATGGTGTTAATGATTAAGATTTGGTCAAGTATATATAAAATACCAGCAAATGAGGAAGAGGATGATGGCACAAGCTCTTGAACCACCAGGGTTAAGAGCCTTTCCGCAACAGAAGCAGCGACTAGCCGCCATGATAATGACTTGACTAGTCAAGAGAAGGACAAAAGCACCAGCTCCATAGCTTGTAGCTATGTCTGAGCCATATTCACAGTACTCATACACCTTCTCCCTGTCTGGTACAACCTTACCCTGCAAACCAAACAAATAGACCAATAAACTTAAAATAAATAAAAAAGACTAAATCTTTGAGCCATTAAAGTGAGAGATCTAGCCAATGCAATCATTAACCGACAAAGATCTTAACTTTGAACCAGATCTGAAAAAAAGAGTCCACTACAAGAGATTGCACCGACAGAGTTTTTTTGAGACAACAGTACTAATTTAAAGTCTTAAACACTGTTCCGAAAAGTTAATCAGTTCAACAGTTTCATAATTAAAATTGACTACAGGAGAAGAAGAATCTTGAAGAGAGTTTAAAGATACTTACGACGCTTCTTCTTTGTTCGGCGGCAATGGCTAATCCAACAGCGATTAGATCTAGAATGAACACAATGATGATCACCAGCTTTGAAGCCATGGCTATTCTCTCACAAGCAAGCTAGAGTTTTTTTTTCTGGTGATTTTTCTCTTTCTTTCCCTCGAAGCTCTGTTTCGTTTTCTTTAAATAAAGTAAAAAATAATATATAGACGAAAATGGCGTGACCGAATAAAGAGAATGACATGACTGTATTGTTTTTCTTCCTGATTTACTGATTTTTCTTTTTTAAAAGACAACGCTAATTCGGTGTTTTTGTAATATTCTCTATTTTATATTAGTATAAAATGTTTTAGTTTAAATGACAATATTATAACAAGAGTTATAATATTATTGATTTTGGTGTAAAAGTTAGTTATAATATTATTTGATATATAGTAAATATAATTTAGTTAATTCTAATATATAAAGTATTACTTACACAATATTTTCTCAAAAGAATAAAAATTACTTACACAACATCCAATACATAGAAAAGTTGTATAAGAATATTAACAAAATAAAAGTGTTGACATTGTTAAAGCAAAAAATATGAACATACAAGATCTTCAAACTCTACAACGACACTTAATATGAAACCGGAGAGAGTATATACTATCAAATTAGGGTCTGACTGGTTTCCCCGCTACCACCCGCAAACGCAGCTTTTGCGGTTGGTAGCGGTTGTTGGCGTTTTGCAACAATCATAAAAATCGCTACAAATCGATTCAAACCGCTCCCAACCTCTTAAAATCAAAAGCTGGTTACAGCTAGCGTTTGCGGTTGCGTGCGGTTGCGGGTGGTTGCGGTTAGGTAAATAGTTTTTTTTTTAAATTTAAATTATAATATAAAAATAGAAATATTATAACTAAAATTATATCTATCTTTTATATTTTAATTTAAATTCACTAAAAATATCATAATTTATTTATAAAAACTTTAAATCAAGAATTTTGACTATCTTTTTAAATATTAATATATATACATATATAAAAATATAAATATATAAATATGTAAATATATATCTTTTTAAATATTAATATATGTACATATATAAAAATATAAAATATAAATATATAAATATGTAAATATATAAATATATAAATATACATAGAAATATATAAATATATTTAATATATAAATATATAAATATATAAATATATAAATATATAAATATATAAATATATAAATATATAAATATATAAATATATAAATATATAAATATATAAATATATAAATATATAAATATATAAATATATAAATATATAAATATATAAATATATAAATATATAAATATATAAAT